GACCTGCATCAGGACCTGAATCAAAATTTGTCCTAAAGGCCACGTCATACCGCTTCTTCAGAATCGCATTGGAAACAATAAAATTCTTATTTGGACTTTGTACCAATTCAAAGAAAATGAGGCTCTGGACCTGGGAGGGAGCCAGAGACAGCAGTCAGCCAACATGTTCATTGTAGGAGCAGAGGGCAATGTCCAGCTCCAACATATCAGCATTCTAGTATATCTGCAGCACATGTCAGTGTAAGAAGACAATGTCGGTCTATAGAGACAAGACACAGTAATGCTATAGAAAAGTTATTAGAAGGGGACAGTCATGGTTTAAAAAACGGCTCATGTTTTCTTTTTATTAAAGTGATCTGGACTCTAGAATTAATTGGCTTAAGTTCACTGGCCTGATTTTATAGAAACCTGAAAAGATGATTCATCCTTTTATTGATTTGAACCAAGGAGTGCCTGCATCATTAGTGTCTCATGCGGTCCTTCATTTGAAAATAAAAATTGGAAGGTATTGTTTGGACTTCAGTGGAGCCTTTGTGTTCCTACCTTGATGGGTGTATCCATGCAGAGAGGTGGGGGGCATCCCTGGGCCTGGGGGCTGAGTCGCACTGTGGGACGCATGGGCTGGTGGTGCAGAGCTGTAAGTTGATGATGATGGTGGTGGCGCCGAGCTTGCAGCTGGGTGTACATGATTAGCCATGGGGCCGCGGGGAGGTGTGTTCATAGAAGTGTGTGGTCCCATTAGCGGTGGAGCTGTGTTGTACTGCCATGATGGAGCCATAGGCTGAGGCTGCTGGGGGTTTGGGTAGTAGTGACTAGAAGACATAGCAGGAGGGGGAGGTGTGGCCTGTGCAGGGGGCAGCCTAGGACCAGGGCTGGGGCTGGGGCTGGCAGACTGAGGAGGGGTATGGGATAAAGGACCTACCATTTGAGGCCTGGTTAACAGAGGCTGGCCTGGATGAGTTGGGTAGGAAGTGAGTGGTGGGCCAGGCTGGTAGGAGCTGACTGGCTGGTATTGCCCAGAAGGGTAGAGTCCAGGGCCGGGGGGTGCGGGGGCTTTGGCCTGCACTGGGTTGTAGGTTGGTTGGTGGGTCATTCCATAGCTAACCCCTGGCAGCTGCTGCAGGGCAACTGGGTTCTGTGATGGACCTGGAAAGTGAGAAAGTAAAATACAGGCATGTAATTACCCCATCTGTGATTTTTTGTCTTTTAATTAAAGCAAATCCTTGGGATTAAGTCTGAAGCACAGTTCAAAAAGGTATATGAAAAACAGATGGCAAAGTACTGGTAGTGATGACACCAAGTGAAAGACACTCAGATCCACCCAATGACCAATGAACTGACAGCCTGGGATCTAATCTCTTTACCTGGATTTAATTCACAATTATCTGTGACAGTGAGTGTGGGGCACTAAGCCAAGTCTGATCTTACTCAAATGAACACAGTAATAGTAAAACACAAGACACTTGCACAATTAAGTATGCTACACAGATATCATCTATTTCTCAAGTTCCTGAATGTCAAATATGAAATCAGGGTTTCACTCTTCTTGAATTAGTAGATGATGCAAAATCTTGCCAACATCAAAACACAAATGCTTATCTACAAGTCAGTAAGAAATAAAAGGAGAGAAATGGGTAGGAGTAGCAATTCATGTCAATGTGTTACTTAAATACAAATCTAATAATGAACAGGCAACAGTACTAAGACTGCACTATCAGCGTGTTAGTGTTTGCTTCCTAAATTATTACATAACAGATTCACTTCTGTCCACACTACATAACAGGAATCAGAGCACAATCAGCAGCGTGAGTGGGATTAGAAAAAAACTCTTCTCAATGAGAAAAGATAGATGAAAGTACACAACACACATCAAACCTTAGCCCTTACGGAGAGCAAGGAAATCTTTTGAACTAAAGCTCATAGTCAGTGACAGCTCTTGTCCAGTCAGAAAGAGCCCGGTGTGGAATAAGATTTCTCAGCCAATCACAAATCAACACAATGAGAGGGGAAATTAAGTTTAGTTTAAAAAATGTATTTATAATAATACTGATTGAGAGAAAGGTTTAGAATAGTGAGCATTTGGTTGATTTATGTCTTCAAATAACAGCTGAGAAATGTATCTCCAACCTTTTAACTGTTCAAATAGGAGAGCTTTCCAAGGGGAAGGAGGATAGCAAAATTATTACCAGAGCTTCTTCATACTAATAAAGATGTACTGCCAGTAAAGCTGTTCTTCAAAGAAAAAAGAAGTAGTCTCTCTCTGTCTTTGGTCCACACCCATTATTACTATTGGCCTCACTAACATCAGGTGGGAGTATGATAAGAATATGCAAGAAAATAAAAATCAATCAAGAGACGACATCCTGAAGTGTGAGTTAATGTAAAGTTTACAGTAGGTAAGTTCACTACAGTTAACTGCAGTCTTTACACGTAAAGCTTATGGCCATACAATATCCTTACTGCATGCGCATCACCTGTGGAAATATTTTAGTGTAGCAATATAATTTTTTTTAATGATTAATTGCGATACTTAATTCCATTTGAATTGTTCATTTGCATTACAGATATCCCATGATAAGAATGAATTTACAAGCATTGTCCTGAAAACTCATCCCACCTAGCTTTAGTGACATGTTGTCATTGTTTGTTGACACATTGTTTTCATATTGATCAGACTTTCAAGAACAGAGCTGAATTAACCTCCCATCTTACTCAAGGAAAAAAGGAATAAGATTAACAGGTAATACTGTGAACACTGAGCTTAGGAAAACCACAGAGGCACTATAAACTCGAGCTGCAGTTGTTTCATTTGTACAGTACAAGAGATCCCCTACATGTACACAGATAAGAAAAGCTACTGAAGGCTGCACACAATCACACATTTGTCAGCTGTCACAGTGCATTTAGATTGTTTACCAGCGTTCATGGGAATCCAATAGCCATGTGAGTAACCTCAAACTGAACAAAGTAATTGGCTGAGCCTGGAGAAAGTTCTGCAGTAACCTATCTGGATCATTCCCAATATGCCACATGTACAGTACAACGTAGAACGCGATTTATGGTTAAAAAAATAAGTATTGCACAACAGTGACACGAACTAATAAACCTGCAGATAGGATTATTCACTGGCAATGAAACTACACAGAAAGGCCCCAAGGAGACACATGCGAAAAGACAAGTCAAAGCTCGTTTAAATATGACAGGAAAAGTTCTGGCTAACCGACGAGCTTGACAGAAGAACAAGTGCTAAATTGACAGTGTGATCACATCACCACCGTTTTGTTTACTGAGAGAAGACAGGACAACTTAACACGTTTCTTAAAAGTTAGGATGCCTATTGACACTATGGTTTGTCAACATGTTTTTGCCACCTCGACAAACCATAGGTAGCAAACACTGGCTAATTTAGTTAGCAAACATATATATTTAACATACAGTAGTATCGATAGCAAGTATTTTTGTCATCTTATGTCAGTAAGGAAACACAGGTCAAGATTAACCGCAGGTATCCCGCCGTCGAACTGTAAAGTTACCTGACAGCTTGCTCTTGCTTGGCTACCTTAAGTTACAGCGTTACTAAGCAAGCTAGTTAGCAAATAGCCATACAGACACAGATCCAAGAAATGCTGCTAGGCTTTTAGCTTGTTGCTTGGATTAAGCGAGTATGCTAATGCTAGCTACTTTGCCTTGAACTAGCGTTAACTTTACCTACATTTAAATGTTACTCACCATTCGCATAGGCCTGTCCTGTCCCTGTCCCGTTCTGAGAGTTGAACCCCGCAGTTGACATCTTGAAACACACACCAGGATCAAATTTAGAGGTGCTTGGTTGGCGAATAGCTAACCTAGCTGCGTCCTTAGCTAGCTAACTAGCTGACAGTCGCGGGGTAACGTTTAAACCTGTGGCTCTGACGATGTGGCGTTTAGTCAAAGCGGAGTCAACGGCGACGTCTCCTGATTCCTTAAAAAAAGTTAATTAGCTGAGTTTATTGGCGATCACAGGGCCATAGCTATTACCGAAACCCCGTTCAACTACCTACGGGTGAGTAACGATAGGCCTCGTCAAGAGTAATCGTGTGAGACACTTCTCCTCTTTTACCGGAAGTTGGGATCACCCAGAAGAATCGACGTAAAAATCATCGGGCATGCGCAGTATGTACACGTGGCATTTCCTCCTGTGCTCTGGATTTTCGAGTGTACTGGAAACAAGAGGAGAAGGTACAACCACTGTGTTTTTAAGCATTTTCTCGTTTAGTTTGACGTGGCAGAATCAGTAAAATATATGCTAATCTTTACATATAGATTTCAAACGATCACCAGAGTTATTCTAGGGCGATATGGCCAACAGTGTCATCACGATAATTGCCAAATCTTTATTTCTTTCAAGATTAAAGACTGACTATTTTGCACTTGAGTAAAAAGTAGTGGTTTTTAAACTATTCTTTATGGTCAGAACATGACAAACACATCATACTAAACAAGTGGATCACTTAACAGATCTGAGGTAGAACATTCAAAACAATTATGATAAAGTATTTTTTTCAACAAATATGCATGAGTAAAATCTTTTTCAGTCCCCTTTACCTCAACAAAATAAATATCTTATTAGAAAAATTAAGTGCTAATTTGTTTGTGATTCAAATGAATTAAATCAAACATTTATTGAACATTTGTTATATTGTTTTAATGCCCAGCCCCGCTGTCACCTACATGAAAAGGGACATTTAAGTGCCTAACAAGATGTTTTTCATGACTTCACAGGCTAACGTTAGATACTATGATCTAACAGGCTAGGAACCATCGTTCTGTGTTGATCGTTTTGTTCGATATGAATCCAGTCGCGGTTACATTTGTAAATTACTGTATTTAAAAAAAATATCCAGTTAAATATATGTTTGCGGAAAGGGTAAAATAAGAAAAAGACTAGACCCTGTTTTATTTCAGTTCTCCTGCCGGAAAGATGATTGTGAAACATAAACAGGAAGCGGCTGGGCAGAGTTTTTGGACAGCCATTGCAGTGTCGTGGCTCAGTAACAAAACACGAAAAAAGGGAGAGGAAGACCTGGCGTTTCGCAGGCTCTCTTTTTTTCCACCAGGATACTAAATTACATGACTAAAAGAGCGAACGTCTTCTGTAAATTAACTGCACCTAAATAACGGGTAAGTTTTTTAAATACATTTTCTTAACAATGATCAGAAAGGATTCTTATGTGACTCGTTCGGCATCTCGGCTAGCAAATTATCCCGGCTCCTAACGATGCTAGCACGTTAGCATTGCTAAACCCAAGTTGGCTAACTCGGCTTATTAAGATCCTCGAGTTGGATTTAAACTGAAGTTGATCCGCTGTTATATTTATCTTAACATTAATATTTATTATTGGAAGGTCAATACTCGCACTATTACAAGTCTCCGGTGTTTGGTACGCCAGTGAAGTGTTTCTATAACGTTAGCTAACTGCTGATTAGCTAACGTAGCTAGTAACCCCTCGATGCAACGTCGCCTTCTCAGAGAATATGACACGTAGCTAACGTTAGTGGCTTCCTGCTAGCCAGCCTACTAGCCGGCCTCACCCAAGCTTTATAAAATCACACTTACCGTACATGTGTAACTTTGATATAACTTGTTTTTATTCTGATATTTGAGACGTTTTGTTAGTTTTTTTTTTTTGCCAACTTGGAACCCGTCGGAGACCAATCATCCATGTAACGGTAGCCGTTAAGGCAAAGGTTAGCTAACTTTGTTGCTACGTTGACAGTGGTTGTGAAAGCTGGACTTGTTTGACACTGCTGTCAAACCACATCCAGTGTCTTTAACGTTAGCCTATTATTGATTCACAGTTTTCTCATGACCTCTATGTTGATTCACAACACCTGCCTGAAATCATTTAGTAGATGGGAATTGATTAGAGACCATATCTCCTACTATTACTGATCATCTTACTTTGTGAGCTTAAACACATTTCTAAATGATCACTGATATGTTTGCATAAACAACCTGTAAATAACTCTTTATTATCTGAGTGAGAACTTATTTTCTGTTGTTTCTGAGACATGGAAGGATGAGAGCGTGGAAGCTGTCAAAACATGGCGGTTTTTGTATATTTACTCTTATTCAGTCATAAACAACCCTGTACTGAAAGTTTTAACTTGAAATAATGGTCCTTAACTCATTTGATAGATTTAATTCACTGCAGATGTCTCATTGAGGGTGAGTTCAGCTCTCAGGGCTTTTCTTGCTCCTCCTGTGTGCATTTTTTTCTTTTATCACTGTCACTTTAGTGTGGTTTGTCCTGCTTGTTTATCAGTTTGCTCAGTTATATCCTGTAAACAACCCCAGATCCTTTGAAACAAGTTGAACTTTTGCCACGTTATATTTTTTTTTTGGCTGAATTTTAAAAACTCATGAATGTATTGGTCTTGAATGAGCCCATATTTGCTCGTGATTATTGTCAGTAACTGTTACACTGTTTGCCATCCGCAGCTGCATCGCGCCACACGTCAGAGCATCACTCTGTAATGCCAGCCCACCGTGTCGTAGCACCCAATGGGGCCAAGCATGGGAGCAAATGGGACTGGACTACAGCAGCAGCCGACTCGTAGTGTAGTTCAGCTGTATTTGCATAGACTTGAACTTTGGCTACCTTATACTTTAGCCCTGGAGTTGTTTGCAAGTTACGTAACTAGGGCAAGAGGTCAGCACCAGCTTACCATGTTCTGATGCCTCCTGTTCATGTCAAAGAGAGAGGGCTAGGAAATGTAGGAAATCAGATGAAATTTGAAACGGCATGTGTGTCTGTGTCTAATGTAGCAAACATAGTGGTTATATACGGGGGAGGACTTTTTATGCGACTAAAATCTTCTTCTTTGGTTACAGGGTTATCACGCCCCTTTTCTCAACTTTTCATGATACTTAAACCTTTGATCACATGTCACTTAAAAGAAGGGGGGAGTTGCGTGAACTCAAATAACAAATGAACTATACTAAAGTTTTTCCAGTATTAGAAGCTGTTGCGTGTAGTCAGAACTGTTGATTACACAGATCACACAGTTATAGCAGGTCTTATCTCAGATCCATTTTGTTTTAATGGAAAAACAATCTGGCTAGCTTATCGTGAAAGGCTAACACTAGGCTTCGTCTCCAAGGGCCTTGCAGATGGTTTGTGTGGGACAAAACACTCATGTTGCCCGTCAAGGAGCTGTCAGATGGTATGTGATCAGTGCCCTGTATCTTCTGTCCTGCTGTCCAAAGACTCTTACTGGAACAAGCTTATCATTGGCTGTGTTATCACCAGTTGCCACAATCTATCTGATAGTTTGAGGCAACATGCATATTCTTAGAGCTAAGTGCCATCACTTGTATGAGGTTTGTGAAGAGGGGTGCTGATTGGTTCCTATTGATCTGACTGTCTGTCTCCTGTTGGATGATACTCTTAATTGTGTCTATTTGTCTCAGTGATTTCACATGCTCTCCCCTGTAGGCTATAGACATGTAATAAATATTAATATTAGGCCATTATTTAGTCCAACAATGTGCCATTAAAACAGTTCTGCCATCTTGACATCTGGATATTATTAAACAGTTACTGTTGAAATTGCAGCATTAAGACACTAGGGATGAAACAATTACCGGTTTAACGGTAAACCATGGTAAAGTTCCCGACAGTTATTATTACCGTACACATTTTAATTACCATGGTAACCAGGTACAGTTAACCGTGCTGTTATTATCTCATGGCAAACACTGTCCAGCATCTCCCAGAAGCAGGCGCACATGCGCTGAATGCAACGTGGGTTTGATTGAGTCAATGACAACACAGCGGAAGACAACGCTGCAGAGATTTATCAGTCACTCTGAAGTCTGGTCGTATTTTAGTTTTTATGAGATCGCTGAGGGAAACTTGATTGAAGAAAATGACCTTATAGTAGATGCAGGGTGAGTTAACTTTTAGCTTTGGTTCGTCTCTCTGACTTGCGAACAGCGTGTAAACTGAAGCTCTCAGTGTTGCTGCTCTTGTAAAAACGCTACATGTTGTTCTGCTGCTGTGTGCGTCATGTGTCGGCAGACTATTCATCCACTGCACATGATAACGCGTTACGTAGTTTAGTCATCCAACCAGCATATGTAGAAATGCTACAGACTCCTCTGTATTTATGTCAGTTTTTGGGCTCATTGCAGTAACTATCACTGTCTTCTAAAGACTTATTTGTTTTTATGTAATTGTCCATGGGGTCATTGTATTACCTATATAATAGAAAATAGAAAATCTTGATAATGCCTACTGATGATTTTCATATTTACAAAAGGTATTTGCTATTATTTTATTTTTTATGCAAACAAAACGGCAGTAGTATTTGTAGTTTTCAATATAAAACTTGTTGAAATGGTTTCAGTGTGTGCATCTTTTTCGGCACATTTTTACAATACCGCGATAATACTGATAACTGTGATACTTTTGGTCACTATAATCGTGATATGAAATTTTCATACCGTTTCATCCCTATAAGACACTGTCCTTATATGGAGGATAAAAAGTAATTTTATGTATAGAAATTTGCCCATTTTTCTTCATATTTACTCTCTTCCCAATATCTCTATTTGAATCTCAATATCATATATTACACGATAAATCAAAACTTCCATCTTTCTTTACTGTACAATATATTGAGCATGTTAACTTTAGAGCATAATGAAGAAACAAACAGCCTGCAGTCTCAGATATTTTACAGGTGTGTCATATCAGCTATTGTGACAACTCTTTGCACTTCAGTATCCTGTCCATGCTGGGGATGAAGGAGACTGTCTTAATGCAAATGTGTAAATCCCCTTTGTCGCATAGATTTGCTTCAATTATGTCCACTCGCTGTTTGACATTGATGGATTTTACAGCCTAGCTCTGTTTTTCTCATTCTTTGTGCATGCATGTCTTCTTATTTCTGCTTTTTCCCCGTTTGTTTTTCAGGATTCAACAGCTCCGGATATGTCATTCCTAATTGATTGGATTTATAACGGTTTCAATAGTGTACTACAGTTTTTAGGTGAGTACTGGTGATCAAACACAAATTCATATTAATTCAGTGTTGACAGCTTAAAAAGATTGCTGTCAACATTGCAAATTAATTTTATCAATCAAAATGTTGTTGCCATAGTGTCAACCACAACACTTTAATTGTAACGACGACTGGTTTGTCTGAAGTGTTAGTGAAAAGAGGGGCTAACTGTGCATTCAGACTAAACGCGAATTCAATCCTTGCAACACTTTCCTCGCTGGAGGTTTATAACTGGACTACTGCCAAGTGTTGATTACGCAAATAAACACAACGCGTGATTACTACAGCAGTATGAACCCAAAGTAAATATTCTGCTGTGATTTCATTGCAATAAACTGATTAAACTGATGCCAAAATAACTACAGTATGATGCAGATTTGTTAAAAATATAAATTCATGCTTTGTCAGGTCTGTCAGCAGGACAACAAATGTTTGTTTTCTGAATAGAGTTCGGATCGATCAGGGCACTTATTTTCTGAACTCACTAGGTAGTTCAACTTTCTTTTCTCCAAGTAATGTCCAGTTTTGTCTGTTTTTTTAAAATATAAATATGAAGTAGTAGTCCAACAGAGCTCTGGGTGCCAACCGACGCTAACAACAACAGTGGAACCGGATGTGCATGGAAGCTAGCTGCCGAGAAGCTCCAGTGAAGATAAATCAACGTTATAATCTCAAAAACTAAAATAAAGAGCTAATTTAATAAAAGCAGTTTACTCCGAGCTCCTCCAGCAGGTAAACGGCGTAGTTGTCAGAGCATAATCCAGTCCTACTACGGGTGTTTATTTGTCCAAAAGCTGCAACGCTGCTCCCGGCTCTGTCCTCGGCATCTTCCCGCAGCTTAGTAGCTCTCTGCCGGCCAGTGGCGGTTTAGCCACCCCACTCTGCCTGCTACTCTGCAAACAACACTCTGAAGTCGTTAGTGACGTCTGGACAGTCTCAACCCTGATAGGCTATTGCGACTCAGCGTCATGCGACTTTCTCGCTCGGGTTTAAAAAATTTTAACTCACGCGAAGACCTTCGCGTTGCCGGCAGCGCCCCCACTGCACCACCCAACAGGAAATTGATGCTCTCTGCGTCTTTGCATTGACTTTGTATGTAAGCGCACCGCCCACAACGTTCACTTCAATTTTGGTCTAAAAGCACCACAAGGGTGTTGTTCACAATAGTGAGCTTTGTTCCTTCTATCCCTGTTGTTGTAGAAGTTGATAGGAAGAAACAGAGTTTCTGTACTGGTGTTAGTTTATGTTGTGCCCCACGGACTCAAATCTGAAATACAAATACCCTGACCGCTCAGCAAGCACCACTCCATAACTGTTAATCCACTTCCAGGATTTCATGCAGTTAAACATTTTCAGCACAGTTGCCTCCTCAGTCAAAGCCCTTGTCAGTCAAAACACATTAGTTTATTTCATAATGAAAGACATCACAAGCCCTTTCACACTGACCAGTTTCTAATGTGGTCCATGTAGTAAGACCACCATTCCTTAAATGTTTCTGTGTAGCTTGAAACGTACCTTTATAGCTCCTTGGTAAGAGCACTAGCACATGCTGGCTTAAGGCCTTTTCACATGGGAAGCGACACTCCGCCTGCGTAGTCGCCTGGCCCCGCAGGGTCGCTCTGCGCTTCTCATGTGAACAGATGGGCGTGTGCTTGGGACGAGCAGTTTCACGGGAACACGCCCGCTTGTCGCAATGCCCGTGCCTCCCATCCTACACGCTCGCCTCTTATTGAAAATGAATTACGAAGCGCATAATTCGCTTCTCGTGTGAAAAGGCCTTTTATGGGTTCAATTCCCATTGGAGCCACACGTGCTTATGTTCCTGTAAAGTGGCTCGGCTAAAAGCATCCACCAAATGGCATATGTTATGTAGTCTTGTGCTCACTGCCCATGAGTTTGTCGATATTTCTTTCCACCTGCGGATATTAAGGAACTAAATTGTTCCAGAAAATAAAATCTTAAATCTGCTCCCCCCCTGTTTTTTTTACAGGAGATGTTTCTGATGGAGTGGCATGTCTGTGCGCGGTGATGGTGATCACTGTTAATCAGTTACTTTGCTCCTTAATTTAAAGCAACCCGTTTACAATCCCTTTTGCATCTGGCACAGTCTCAGACCAGCTTGCATGTTTGGAGTGTGAAAACAGTTGTGAATGCATATAAATACCTGTAGTTATTGAGAGTAAAAATTCCTTTTTAATGATTCATTTAATTTCTCACTGACTTGTCTCAACACACCCAGCAAAAAATTTGTGTTTGTCAACAGACTATTGTGACAACCCTAATGTAATGTGAACATGAAAGGCTCAATAAGGAATGCTTTTGTGTCCAATATGATTTTGTGACAGATACGATTTTGTGTCCATCTGAAATCTGGTGTACCTGGTGGCTGTGTGCCAGCTGCTCCTCTCCACAAAGCGTGCTGTTTTAGTTTCTATGTAAGAGCTTCTCCCGTAAAGCAGTTGTTCCTGTTCTCCCTGTCAGACAGGTAGTATAGTGCTGAGAGTAATGACGACGTCTAGTAGAGCTGAGTCAGTCAGAAACTCGACTGGGTAACACTGCATGACTCAGAGTGTAATCTTGTTAGGAAAGTCGAGGAAACCGTAGTTGCCCTTTTTCTCCTGTTTTAAGTTAGTTGGTACACCCACCACAGAGAACTGATAGTAAGAGAAAAATCTTTGAAGAGTTACAAATAAAATACTACTTACTACTTACCTTACTTGTTTCATTTAACATTTATAATGTGAAGTAGATATTATAAAATGGCAAACTCAGTAGGTGGAGCACAGCCGCTTGTGCATGTGTCATCAAAGAAACTATTTGTGTGAATGAAAGATTTAGTTGCATGCCTGAAAATATGTCCGAGCTTGGCAACTCTTTTGTCAAGTGTCACCTTTATGTTTTGAAGATTAGTTTGTTAAATTCTTAAGCCATAACAGACCTTCAGTACCAACTAACTTAGTTTCCCCACATATAGACTATAATTGGGCGGCTGTCCAGGTGTATTAATGGCCACCAAAGTATCTTTGGCTCCTGTCAAATTTTTGCAGAGAGTGATGTTCTGGTATCTGGTATTATGTTGCAAGTGAACCATGAACACACCAGTCCAGATGTCATTTGGTACAACGTTGGTTTCAATCGTTTTGAAAGGCTGCGTCCCCACAACAGTTATACTGTCATTCTGTGGGGATTCTGTTACTGATCACCTGAGTTCATGTGGTGACGTTTTCTTATGATCCGTTCTGAAGTGCTTCTGCCCTTGTTTCAGGACTGTACAAGAAATCCGGCAAGTTAGTATTTCTTGGGCTGGACAATGCTGGCAAAACGACGCTACTGCACATGCTCAAAGATGACAGATTGGGACAGCATGTGCCAACTTTACATCCAAGTGAGTTGGTGCTACACTCTCTTTCTTACACACATTCTCCTTGTTATGTGTTGAAAGCCACCCGTGCAAAAACATTCAGGCAGATAATTGACATTATTCATTTAAGATTGCCCTATTTTTTAAACAAACCACTATTGGATGTGTGTGAGCTGTTTTTCTGTCTTTCTCCAGCCTCGGAAGAGCTGACGATCGCTGGCATGACTTTCACCACATTTGACCTTGGAGGCCACGCACAAGGTGTGTCTGTGTGTCTGTGTGTGTCTGTGAGTGAGTGAGTTTTTTTTATATCACGGTGGGGAGTTCACCCTCACTGCCCACTAAACAATAGGGACTTGTGTCACCAGTGGGACATAAATTAAGGTCCCTGCTGTTAGAGACTGCTTTTTGATGGGGTAATACTTGGTTTTAGGGTTCGGGTTACAATTAGGTTACGGTTAGGTAATTGTTAAGGTTAGGCATGTAGATGTGATGATTGTGGTTAGGGTAAGGGGCTAGGGAATGTATCACGTCAATGAGATGTCCCCACAGGGATAGAGGAACAAACATGTGTGTGTATGCAACACTTTTGGCTTTCATTAGTCACAGTATGTATTAGTGATGCTCCAATGTCACTTTTTCACTGCTGAAATGATCTAGAAATAAAATGATTGAGATATTAGCAGTTTCCTTCAGAGCGACATACCTGACCCCGATGAGAATGCAGCGTGTAAAGTAAAGTAAATTCTCCCCCGCAGTACACTTACTAAAATAAGGCCAATACAATATATCACAGTTTCAGTGAATGTAAAATGTGTCTAACATGAGTAGACAGACGCCTGCCGTGCTGTAAAACTTTCATGTTTGTCTGTTTGTTCACACAGCCCGCAGAGTGTGGAAAAACTACCTCCCTGCCATTAATGGCATTGTCTTCCTAGTGGATTGTGCAGACTTCACCAGATTGGCAGAATCAAAAGCAGAACTTGATGTAAGTACTTGCTACCTAGTAGGTCACCGGCACACTGTGGAGCAGTATTTTTGACAGCTTTCAGAACTCACAGTAGTGGTAGGTTAGTTAGTGTAAGAATTTACAATGAAATTGATAAATTGTAGTCTCCGTCTTGTATTGTTGTTTTTTTAACTGAAGAGAAATTCTTCCCACCCAAGTAAGTTATAACAGAAGTAATGCAGTGTTCAAACAGCCTTTGAGTTAGACATATTGAAATTATAGCTAATGTGCAGTATATTAGCTGTTTAATGTTACAGATGAAGTAAAATATTAAAATAATTCATTCAGACACATTTAACGATAAAAACATCTGCACTATTTTTGTGGCGGTTATATCTATGCACAACATAGTTCGTACAAAAAATATATTTTTTAAACCAGACACAGAAACGAAGCATAGTTTGTTTTTTGTTGTTTCTTCAGTCACCTTTCATAGCTAATGTTAAATTATTATGCAAAGAGGAATCCATAGCAGAAGGGGCAAAGCTATACATTTCTGCTCTCACAATAGCTCACGAAATACAACTCCCTGTTTGATGGCATTTTTGTTGAATAAGTAGACACAGCTCATGACAGCACACATCACTTTCTGACTTCTGGAAGGCAGTAAATATATTTTACATCATAGTTTCATGATGTGTAATATTGCAGTATCTGAGGGTAGAAGTTTTTTTTTTTATCATCTTAAGAATAAAAAGGAAAGCCACATAGTAATACCTATTCTACCCTCCCAGGCATTAATGACAGACGAGACCATCGGAAACGTGCCTATCCTTATCTTGGGCAACAAGATCGACAGACCAGAGGCCATCAGCGAGGAGAGTCTGAGGGAAATGTTTGGATTGTACGGACAGACGACAGGCAAGGTGAGTAGACTCAGAACTCTGTCGGGACAGTGCATTATACCGTTTTCTGGACAGGCAAGTACACTGCTCCAAATAATTAAGGAAACACTTTTTACACATCAGATGATGATGATAAACGAAATAGTTCAAAGTTCAAAATCTTAACTGTAAATTGTATAATTTGTTGAACAAAATGAGGTAACAACGGTTATTGGAAACCAAAATTGCCAACCAACTGAGGGCTGCGTTCAAAATCACACTGAAAATCAAAGTAAAAAAAATGTAAATCACAGGCTGATCCAACCTGCATGACTTTCATCACGGTAACTCATAATGTGAGTCAGTATTGTGTATGGCCCCCACGTGCCTGTATGCACTTCTTACAACGTCTTGGCATGGCTCTGATGAGGCAGGTTTGGTCAGAAACATGCACACCGGTAGCTTGAGTTCATTTTGTAGGGCTCTGGCAGTGCTCCTCCTGTTCCTCCTTGTCCAAAGGAGTAGATACTGGTCCTGCTGCTTGGTTGATGCCCTTCTACAGCCCTGTCCAGCTCTCCTAGTGTAAAGGCCCGTCTCCTAGTACCCCCTCCATGCTCTTGAGAATGTGCTGGGAGACACAGAAAACCTTCTTGCGTTGGCACGTATGAATGTCCTCCATTTTATTTGCACATTAAAATCCAAAAAGTAACGTCTCCTCATTAGCTTAAAAGGACTAGTTTGCATCACTAATTAGCTTTACTAACCTCAGCTCCTCCAGTCACCTCTGTCCTTTCTTTTCCAAAACCACTTTTTCAGACTGAAAACTGAAAAATAATTTAATCAGTCTGTACAGGACAGAGCTGCAGGCTACACCACTTTAGTCTAAGTTTGTACCTGATGTTCTCAACATTGGACAAGTAGGCAGTAATAAAATACAGCTTCCAGTTACTTTCTATAAATTGAGCTAATGTTAAGTTACATAGTAGCTATGTAGCTACTGTAGAAGCTTTCCTGCTGAGCTGTGCAGTCAAAAGGGGAGGGGAGATGTTAGCTAACTTAGCGCAAACCCGCTTCACTTTTCCAGCAGGTGGTCTTCAGAAGCTAATACACTCTAACAGACACCGTACATTTACTGCCAGAATATTTTCCTCCACTCGCGTTCACCGTAACTTTTCAGAGTTTTCAGAGTTACGCTGCTCTTATAACACCACATTTCACATATGTTCTGCATAGAACAAGGAGAGGAAGCGAGCCAAGCATTGAGTGCTGCCGTGCTTCAAAACGCAAGTTGTCTTTTTAAAACTGCTGACAAATAAGGTCACCAGTGCAGACAGATACAGGGAGAGAGAGACCGAGAGGGACCTTTTTTTTAAAACATCGGGAACCGTAACCATCCAGGAAAAATGCTATCAGTGCATCTCTAGTGTATATAAAATGTTCATATGATGTTGGTTGAGTCCTCACCCCAGAAGACAGTGAAAAGTTCTTCAGTTATGGTGACAAAGCAGACCCAAATCCCTGCAGTCATAGTGAAATCAAATACTGCTGACTGGTCCATTTGTCAGCATAACCTTTTAAAATATCAAGTTAAGAGTTGCTAGGTAATCTGTTGTCTTGCAGAAGTTGCCTTTACCTATTTGCCAAGTTAAAAATGCATATTTACAATTCAATCCAGTGCTCACTCTTGATCTCCTTGCAAGTTCCAAACTCACCACAGCAGAAGAGAAAATGAAGAAAGTGGGTTTAGTGTGACTTTCTTCCTGCTTTCTCTCAGGGTAATATTCCCATGAAGGAGCTGAACACGAGACCACTGGAGGTGTTCATGTGCAGTGTGTTGAAGAGGCAGGGCTACGGCGAGGGCTTCCGCTGGCTCTCCCAGTACATCGACTAAAGCAGCCAAGCCCAGTGACACCACCACCATCACCACCATCGAAGGGGGGGGGGCGCGCTAAATCCAACCACTCAAGGCGCCCACCGTTGCCACCAGTACCATCATACTCAGCCCCGTGTTTGGTTTAACAAGTCTGTCCACCTTCAGAGAAACCAGTACAACTTGATCCCAATAGACTTTTATTGGTCGAACATTTGGTTCAGCACTTACAGAATTCATACCTGTACGCGCACGCACACACACTCGTTTCCATCTGTCTTTTTCTAAGAGAGTAACATAGCATTGGTTCCACAGCAAAGGGTGTTCAAATTCAAACTGATGAATCTTTTCTATATTGTGTCTGTCGTTTACTGCCCTCTCCCCCTCCCTTCCTGCCATCTGTTGTGTGTGATGATAGATGCATTATAACTGTAAATCTGTATATGATTCCCTTGGTATATCAACAATCCCTGATGCCTCTTTCCCCTCTTCAAATCATTTCGAGCAACGAGAGCAGCATAGTTGTATACATTGCAGTACACTTTTTTAACAGTTAAGTTCATTCAACATTATATTTAACCAACACATATTGGGTTTTTCCTGTTATTTTTTTGTTATTCATGTTTTCAATAAAATAAAGTGTGTGGCCACGTATACAGCCTTCACCATAGACGCATGGCTGTTTCACCCATTTATTTAAATGGACCAGTGCATTTATCTTAGCGTATCAGAAATTAGATCCATTTCTTTAAGTAACTTGGAAGTTGAAATACTTTTGGTTCCAGACTTCTAGACTTCTATATCGTGGGGTACAGCAGCATTGAATAGATCTAAGTACTCTGTGGGCCCCCCTTTTTAAAGAGAAGCATGGGGTGGATAGGGTGGACATCGTAAAGCAGATGAGAGAAGATTTTTAATAGAAAATGATACTGGCTATAACCCCACCGATGTTTGATGAAATTGTGTAGATAGCACAATGGTCAGTTGATACAAAGAAAACTATTTAAGTAAATGAAACCTTTGGATAAATAGCGTAACAATAACATGCAGTACGAGATGAAGGGAGAAATAAACAGATGGTTGTAACATCTTGTAATCGTCAATATTAAGTCCATCCTGCAGATGTATTTCCCAGTGCAGACCTTTTTACATGGTGAGTCTAGTGACCAAGCGTAGATAACTGAGGGCACTGTCCCACAGTGTGAACAGGTAAATAGGCCTGAGACACCTCTAAGAAAAGGGACCATATATGTATGAAATGTACATGAACATCGTACATGGATTTTGTATTTATAAGTGGTATCCTTTGATCTATGTGCTTTACCAGAAACTATTACGCATGCCTTGTTCTTTTGATTTGTAATGACCATTATTCCAGAGTAGAACAGGAGGGGGGAAAAGATGCCAAAATTTACAATGAGAGCTGATTGTCATGTTTTTTTGTTTTTTTTTTAACGAAAACTATGGAATTGTGCTTAATACACATTTTTTTTCTGTCCCTGTCCCTTTGTGTCTCTTTCATTCCCTCATGACTACGAGATGAGCTGTTCCAAGAAGGGTGGGACTTGCTGTTGTTTGCATCATAAGAAATGTAATAAATGTTTTCAATGAATAACAGGCTTTAACATTGATCTACAATGCAGACTGATTGTTTTGTCACTTTTCTTTAGTCAGATCACCTGTGGAAGAAGTATTGAATTCCTTTACTGAAGTAAAAGTACCAATGGAACAGTATTCAAATGCTCTACTTCAAGTAAACCCTGCATTCAAAATCCCACTTAAGATGTATCAGCTAAATATACTTAAAAGTATTAAAGTAAAAATAGTCATTCGGTGGGAAAATAGCCCCTGTGACATATATTTATACATATATACTACATAATCAGATTGTAACTCGTGGACATCTGGCACATAACAAGGGGCACCAATTATACTGCATTTGTAAGCAGCCACAAGACAAAAAAGTTGGAAACCAAAAACACTGGTTTAATCTTTAATAACGCATACAATGGACATACTCAAGTAAAGTACAAGTACCTCAAAATTTTACACAACTATAGTACTTGAGTAAATGTACTTAGTTTCCACCACTGGGTGAAATAACTAATTTAATTCTCTTGATCTGACTGATAATTTAAATACCTACCTATTATTTAGCTTCAGTACAAGCACTGTACTATCAGGCCATTGGGTGTCGCACGTGACACGGAAAAGTGTATGTTTAACTACTGCACAACAATTTTATCTTCATTCTTTAAATTAATGACTAATATTTAGTATAAAGTAAACAATATTGCTGAGTATCAATTACACATTAAGCAAAGTTGTCGCACTGGATCATACCATCTGCTTTTATCCCATTTTACTGATGTCAACAGTTTTTCAAAGCATCTCAAGCATGTTCTTTGTCAGTTAAGTGGTTTCATTTTAGCATTGCACAAAAACCACATTTAAACACTGATTTACTGGAGTTATACAGTTGATTTGTCGGCTGGTGTCACTGTTTGTCTTAAAGATTTCCTATTCCAGCAACAAAACTGAATGCAATAATATTGGACAGCCACTATCAATACATACATCTATTGTAGTGTATTAGTTGTCAGTTATCTTACCTGTGTGTGTGTGTGTGTGTGTGTGTGTGTGTGTGTGTGTGTGTGTGTGTGTGTGTGTCTGGTGAGGAATCTGATGCTGCTTGTCCTCCCTCACAGGGATTTAAGCATATGAGAAACCAGAGAAGGTGACGTCCCTTTACTGGTAACTTAGCCTCCTGTGTCTCTTCTCACTTCCAATCAGCGTTCAAGACACACTTGAACCTAGCTACAACAATACACCAGAAGTTAACAAGAAGGGGGTTAGGCATCTACTGTACAAACTCATCTATTCAGAGGGAAATGCTATCTGATAGTACTGTGCTGTCTCCAACACAGCTGTTTCAGTTTCAGTCAATAATTTTGACTGTGTTTCAATCTACATTTTAAATTGGTGATCAACCGCAACTGTTTGGTATAATTGTTTAATCGTACACCTGGTGATATGCCTGCAATATCCCTGACTTTGTGGAAGTCTACCTAGAAGATTTAAGGCAAAGTGTGGTGACACCAAATATTGATTTGATTGAAATTCTGTACACTCAGTTTGGATTTTGTTAATTGATAAATATAATATATTAACATGTCTATTGTTTAAAGCATTCTTACTTAACTTAATTTTCTTCACCTGGCTACCTAACACTTTACTGTATTGTACTGTATTTTTTAAAAGAAGTAAACCCTTTTAAAATGTGCTGTACTATAAAAGCTGGATAGCTTAAAAATTCAACTGCAGGTGTGGGTTTTTTATGCTAAGAGTATGTTAGGATTTCCCAGAGATGAAATTGAGTCTTTATATGTACAGCCTCCTCTTGCAAGGATGACAAATTTAAAATTAGTTTATTAAATGGTTGTGCCTTATCAGATGATGGATGAGAGGATTGTAATGAAAAAATGTGACTACAAATAATCAGCATTTTCAGAATCAGTTCAGTCAAGTGTGCTTTATCTGCACAAATGTTTCATTTAAACCATGTAGCCAAAGCAGTTTTCAAAATAAAACAACAAAACAAAACAAACGTTTTCATTTGAAAATGACATAACAAGATTAATCTAATCAAGAACATTCAATTCAGCAGTTTTAAATTACAAAAACAAAAAATACACTAACACACTTTGTTTTGACTAAATGTATTGCCTTGCTCTTTACATTAATCAGCACAACTTAAATCTTAAATCCACATGTAATCAAGCTGTAACCTCTTGAAGAAGTGGATTGAGACAAAAAATTAATCGCTTTGCTAAAAATGTCACAAAGAGAGCTTAACGGTATAAATCAAAACAGAATATTTCCTGAATATTCCATAGACAAAAGTAGCAGAAATTCAAGATGATGGTCATTTAAAAAAGGGGGCAATAAGTATTACTTGTAATAATGGTTCATTTGACTGCTATAGCTTAACAACATTATTGACAGCTTCCTGTTTATAGGTTTCTACTGTTGGAATTTTGATTAGTCTGTAAGCAACAGAGAGGAGCAAAAGAGCATTTATTTAAATATGTGAAAATGCTAGGTAGGTAGGTACATTTATTTGTCACAATATAACAACTTATATAGTGAAATTTAATTTTGTAACTCCCTTCTGCTACAAAGCAGACAATATACATGAATACAGGAGCAATTATAAAAATGGTAAACAGAAATAAATTATATTCAATGGAGCAGTGCTGAGAATGAATTTGAGCTTAAGAGTCTGATAGCTTGGGGAGAAAAGCTGCTCTGCAGTCTGGTGGTGTGGCAGCATAAAAACCATTATCTCTTCCCAGAAGGCAGCAGGGTGAACAGACTGTGGCTGGGTAGGTACTGTCCTTTACTATCCTTTGGGCTCTGCGTAGGCACCTCGCCTCACCGATACCACTGATGCTCAGGAGATGGATACCAGTGATCTTCTGAGCAGTTTTAATCACCCGTTGCAGAGCCCTCTGGTCCTGGGCTGTGCAAATCCCATGCCAGTTAGTGATGTTTCCAGTCAGGATGGTTTCTATTGCTCCTCTGTAAAAGCTGGCAAGAACATGGCACCGGAATTTGACCTTCTTAAGCTTCCTCAAGAAATATAAAATGTTATAGGTTCTTAGTTTAAAGGTCAAAAAAAGTTTTGTGAATGTAAGAAGCTGAAAAACAGCCTACTGAACAAACAGTTCAGAGGAATAATAACTGTATTCCCCTAAAGCACCTTCAGTTTTTATTTTTTTCTGTGTGTAAATATACTGTAGCCATTGCAATGTAGCCACATAAACCAAAGTATTGGACAAAGAAACTTTACTTTACCTGATGAAAGTGCTAGATGAAAAGTCAGAGGATCACCAAAATTATTACAATTCATCTTCAAAGGGACTTTAACACATGTAATTTAGGTCTATCAAATTATCACGCTCCAGTAGTTGTAGTCCAGAAATTTCACTCAAAATCACAAATGTGAACCTCATGGTGGTGCTACAGGAAAAGTCAGGGGATCACAAGAGTCAGTAGGATTCATCCTCTGGGCCCCTTGCATGGCTAAAAATATAAAATAAATGTGATAGTAAAAGTAGAAGTCCACATGAACATCATTATTTATAGTGCTTGAACCTGACATAAAGAACTTCGCCCTGCGGGAGCTGAAGCCCTCACACTCAGAGGCATTTTCAGTTTATAGATTGAATGTTTTAAGTGCAGATATGTTCAGCTGAATCTATTCTTATAAATCAGGTGAATTTATAATTTAAAAAAAGAGGTACATTAATTTAAAAAAAGAGGTACATTCAATCACAGGACATTTTAACATATGAGGCCCATGGGCCCTCTGCTCGCAGTCACTGGGTTCCCTTTATCAAGACTCTCACTGCAGGAATACTGTTTAAGAATATTAAACACTGGCAACTAAACACTCGCTCATTCATGATGGAAGTGCGTCCCTAGGAATAATCAATTCTTCAAAAATAAAAACTGTTTTCAAATACGGCTTTCCCCAAAAAAGTGGACTCTTGGCTCAGTCTTGCCCCATATGAGGGAAGTTGAGCTAAGGGAGAGGATAAGTTTGCCACATGGGGTTCGGGGACATCAGTGTCATTTCATCATGCAAACTCAAACGCCAGGTCCTAACATTCAATTGCACTTAGATAAAACACTGCAGCTGTGTGTTCTAGTTGTTTCATTTCAATGTATTGCTTTAAAGTCATCCTGTTGATCGTCCTGTCCTGATGTATCGAATTCCCATATCTGTACTTCTCCCACTACTCTGTCCAAACCCACAACAAGAGTTGAATCCTGTCTGTTTTCCATTTATAGAAGCATGACATGGTTTCTGGTCTAAAATGCATAATGTCACATCATTTCGATGAGGCACAGGAATACAATGTAAAATTATAGTAAAATAGCTGGCTCAACTTCCCCCAGGTCTTTTGGCTCAAATTACCCCATTTCTGCCATTTTAACTAATTTATTTCATCCAGCAGTTTAAGGGTAATGTCATGCTAAGAATATAGCCTCATATTGTAACTTCCTAAAGCACTAACACATGCATAAGATTTTCTCAAATATGTCTGTAATTGTTCAGACACAAGAATCATGACTCTAATAATAATAATAATAATAATAATATATTAAAAACAAAGTAAATAAAACAGTAAAAGTGTCTGTTTATGTGTGTAAAAAAAATTTAATTTAATTAAAAAAATTAAAATTCTCATCATATTTGTTGCAACAATATCGTTTAAAATCGGGTTTAAACCAAAACAAGAGCAAAACAGGGACTGACTGATGCTACTGAGCTCTCTTCATATATTCTGGTGAGTTGGCTACTTTATCAAATTAACCTGTTTATCTGAGTAATAAATGCCATAAATTCTGTTATTCAAATAGTGAATTAGAAGTAGCCAGTATAAGTATAAAACGTATTTGTTAAGTATGTCGATACAGCTGGTTAATGTCACTTTGTTTTCTTTTAGCCAACTACACAATGGAGAATAACGTTGCTGAGGAGCATCATGTCACTTCCAGCACTGGATGCCCTTACAACATGAAGAAATGCTGCGATGGTTACATTCAGCATAATACATATCTGGCTTCAAGTCTGATAGCTGTTGGGCTGGGCAAGTGATTTCTTTTTACCTATTGTATGTTAGAAGTTACGTCCTAATAACACCAAAAATCCACTGTCACAATATCCTGCACTGACTAAAACTAGAAAGAGAGAAATGCTGTTCTGGGAACATGTTTGAAATCTAATAAAAATGACACAATCTGTTGCCTGGGCTACCAAACCATCCATTCATTCTGCAAAAGTAATTGAAAATGCGCCGTCGCTACTGTTGCACCAGATTCTGTGACCCATCAGTTTTCGTGCCCTGACGTTTTTATCATACTATCACATAAGCATACTTTTGATTGCAACTGTGTTTTGATTGCAACGTTGTGCCTGTATAGCAGTGTTGGGCAGTAGCGTCGCTACAAGTAGCGCCTTTATTCCTGTTTAACTAGTGTGCTGGCAACATGTTCGGGTAGTCACATGACAGTACAACAGGGTGTGCTTTTCATCATTTCATAATTAATAAATATATGGGACTATTCTATGACATAAGGTAAAGTCTCTTGTACACCATGTCTTAAAGCCATTAGGCTATGTGTAGGATTTTATGTATTTCTTTGGTGCCATCCAGTGGTAGTATCAATAATAACACTGTGGCTGACTGCAATGTACCGTAACAGTCTAAATGTATTTTAAGCACATAAGGATTCACATTGCACAACTTCAAGACAGAATTGGTCTATAGCAGTGGTCGGCAATAGGCGGCCCGCGAGCCAGAACCGGCCGCCAGCAATAATATCTGGGGCCAGATTGCTTTGATAGCTGAAAAAAATAAAAATCAAAAATTGTTAGTGGCTGGTAATGAAATAGATCTCAGGCATGACAGCTACAGTTACTCACACTTCCTCTTAAGTGATTGTGCCTTCAAAATAAAAGTGTGAGAACATTCTTTGCAGCAATGCTTTATGTTGAGTTCATTGAGAGCTTTTACTTTAAAGAGTTCTCTGAAGGACATTCAAAAGAGACTGGCTTGCTTTACACACCTCTGAAAAAGTGTCCTTATAATCAATTTGTTTAACAAGGGAGAAAAAAATATCCACAGTTATTTCGAATGATCGTACAACCTTCCTAACGTTAGTCACACACAGTACCGACTGTGCTACACATGCACAAAAGTAATCTAGCCTATACAAAATAATTTGACTTTGTTCTGGCCCACTATGTAACGGCTTGAAAAAAAATTTGGCCGATGCCAGACTTATTTGCCGACTCCTGGTCTATAGCAAATACAGTAACAGTTAACATGGAAGCAAAGAAAAAAAGTAATAGATTGTGTAGACTATATATTATTATGTGACATCTGTTTGATGTGCATGTAGCCTAATTATTAAAGAGCCACGCTTTAGCGTAAAAATGGCATTCGGTGTATTGGTCAATGTGCTCAATGAATTTCCAGTACACAACTTATAGTTGGCTAAAATTATGAAAACCCTTTCCCAGAAAATGTTTGAGTTTTAGCATTGTTTTACCTCTAACACATCCCTTTTCTTTCTTTATTAATGTCTTACAGGTGTTTCCCTGGGCTTGATTCTCAAAATTTTTGTCCCTTTGTCTGAATTTGACGAACTCCACGTGGGCTTTCCGGGAGAAATGCTCATGCGGATGCTTCAGCTGGTCTCAATTCCTCTCATCGCCACAAATGTGATAAGAAGTAAGCCACAGGAACATTTCTCACATTGTTAACTGTTACATTAGGATACATATTATACACACAGCATTTAAAAGGAACACGATGGTGGTTTGGCAAGTTTAAGCTTATTAAACCTAAATAGAGGGTGTAAATTCAAAAAATGCCCTTTGGAATGTTCTGGATGTATTACAGTTTTAAATAACTGTTCTATACATACACTGCTCAAAATAATTAAGGAAACACTTAAATTACACATCAAATCCCGATGATCCTGATGAACAGAATAATTGGAAGTTCAAAATCTTTACTGTAGATTGTATAATTAGTTGAGAACAAAATGACATAACAAAGGTAATTGGAAACCAAAATCAGCAACTGACTGAGGACTGTATTCAAAATCACGCCGAAAATCACAGTAAATAATTTTAATCACAGGCTGATCCAACTTGCATGCATTTCATTAAGGCAACTCATAATGTGAGTCAGTATTGTATATGGGCCCCATCTGCCTGTATGCACTCCTTCAACATCTGGGCTTCTGAGATGGCAGATGGTGTCCTGGGGGATCTCCACCCAGACCTGGATCAGGGCATCAGTCTCTGGCACTACTTGGTGGTCTCGGGCGCACCGAAAGATAACGTCTCAGAGGTTCTCAATTGGATTCAGGTCTAAGGAACATGAGGGGCAGTCAATGGCATCAATGCCTTCATCATCCAGGTACTGCCTACAAACTCTGGCCTCATGGGGCTGGGCATTGTCCTGCACCAGGAGGAACCCAGGACCACTGTACCAGCATGAGGTCTGACAATGGTTCTGAGGATTTCATCCCTAACAGCAGTTGGATTACTGTTAGCTAGCATGTGGAGGTCTGTGCGACCCTCTAAGGATATGCCTCCCCAGAGCATCACTGACCCACCACTAAAGCGATCATGCTGGATAATGTTGCAGGCAGCGTAACATTCACCAATGTCTGGCGAATGCCAGTCGAACTGCATAGTGCTGGGCTATGAGCACAGATCTCACTAGATGACCTGTGCAACCTGAGTGGGCTGCAGGTACCGCCTCATGCTGCCAGTAGTGACAAGGACACCAGCAAAACGCAAAACTAAAGAACAATTTGTCAGGAAGGATAAGGAGAGAGCAACTGTCTGTGGCTACTACCTGAAAAATCATTCCATTTTGGGAGGTTGTCTTTCTGTTGCCTCTCCAGTGCACCTGTTAGCACTTTCATTTCCACCAAAATAAGTGACAGTGATTCACAATCGCTTATGCTTCCTAATTGGACAGGATTTATATCCTTGAAGTTTACTTGACTTGATGTTATACTGTGATGATTAAGTCTTAATTTTTTTGAGCAGTGTAGATATGAAAAACATATTTATTTATATTATTTTATTTATCTTATATGTTACCATATTTTAATATAGGCTACATTTAATTATTTGTTAAGTTCTGTGTGTGTAAAACATTTTCAAAGCCTTCTTTTATGCCACATGGTGCTACGTGGTCTCTTCTTTATCTATCTTTATCTTATCTATCTATCTTTAACTGAGACTACATACCTATCCCTTTTTAGTGTTACATATCTTAGAATACTTCAGGGTTATGTTTCAGGTTTTTCAGAAAGACAAATGAAAGAAACCTTCTATGGTAAAATATGGAACATTGCCAGGCTGAGGCAAGTGGAACAGAGGCTAAATTATAAAGTGGGTGAAACTTAAGCTCTCTGTTAGCTGTTGCACACATCAGGAGAGACTTGATTTGAACAATTTTTGATGTGTGATACATTGTGTGAGAATGTGAAAAGTCATTTGGCGATTAGACTCCATCGTGATGAAAGGGGGTAGAGCAGCAGATGTATAGAAATCCCCCAATGCAGTCTAGACACTGGTGGTGGTGAGATGAAGGATGAAGAAGATGCTGAAGACCTCAATGGGAAGAGCTGAACAGGGACTAGATCCAATGGGCAGGAGGTGAATGGGGTGTGGGAGGGCTGCAGCCGTACTGAATGATAGCTGTGGGCAGAGGAGAGAGCATATTTAAAGTGTGGTCTTGACTTCCTGATTTGCTGAGCTGATCGTGGTGGAACCTGAGTGGAAAACCATGAGGGGACGCCCATGGTCAGCTGTTCGGGCAGAAAAAGTGAACGAGAAAGAGGGAGAGTGTTAGGTTCCACTGAAAAGGATTCAGGTGCCGACACAAAATGGTTATGGGAACACAGGAAGAATTTATTAACGTGCACAGGGAAAGCCAAAGGGTTGGGGAGGTAGCGGGGAATTCCAGGCATGGAGAGAATCTGACGACGGTGTTTCTGGACTCTGTCAGGGCGGACAGACAGGCTTGCGGGCAAAGAGCAGACAGGCAGGTGAATCAATGGGCAGGCAGGCAGGCGGCACAAAACTGAGAACACAAGGAAGGGAGGAGAGGGCGAAGCCAAACCATAACAGAGAGAGAGTTGTGAATAAGTGACGCATAAGGACAGTCTTCCTGGTTGAACTTGCGCTGAGCTTAATATGTACAACAACATGTTTGACAGCTTGTTGACTGGTACAGCACTGTTTGATACACACTGTGACTTTCAATAAATGCCCATGGCTGACGGGAGGCTCATAAAGATTCAAAGCCAACGGATTTTACAGAGTTATTATATGGCATAGATGCCAAGTAGAATAGCTGTTTATTTTGTGCAGCATAGATGATGGTTATAGATTGGTTGTCATGTTACTGGTATAAAAATAATCATAAAGTAAGCTATTCTTTCATGGGATTAATACCTAATTTAACATCAACTATGAATATGCATTTACTGAAGTCACGTTTTAAATTTCAAACAAGTAGTAATTTAATAATACAGTATTTGACTCCATTGCCTCGCAGTTTAGCAATGACATCTGGTATATCTCGAAATGATCAATTACGGTCTCAAACAACACGCCTAAACTTACTTATTTACTTTATTATTCCTGAGATGTAACTGTGCTCCCCTAACCTTCCGTTGCCCTTGTGTAACACTCATATATGACCTGTCTGACCCTCCAACTTTTGTTTTTTTAAGGTATTTCTGCTCTAAACATTGAAACTTGCAGAAGAATCTCATTACGTGCAGCAGCATACTTTCTTATAACCACTCTTCTGGCTGTGAGTACAGGTAAGATAAACACTGCACATATGCTTTCATTAGGAAAGGTGCGCTTGACCACAAATTACCTGAGGCATTTTAATGTTTCAAGTCACCTTTTTCCCGCACGCGTAAATGTGCAATTTAAAACTCACTCCTTTGTCACAATTTTAACCAAGCTATCAGGTAAAAAATATACTTAATTCTTCCATGGTCATTGTCAAAAATGTGTTGATCGTGTTTTATGCATATTTGACCTTTGTCACAGCAAACAATTTCACTTATCATAGCAGGAAAACAGGTGAGGTGTTATCAATACCTCAGTGAGCCAACAAGTACAAAATTGGACAACTAAGTGGAATTGGATTATTTGTTGTAGGGTTACTACTGGTAATGTTGATCAATCCAGGAGTGGCTAAAGCTGTTGAAAAGGATGAGACAGATGATGAGGAGTCCTTCGACACTCTCAGTTCCCTGCTGGATCTAGTAAGGTGAGAAGAAAGTGTATATTCTTACATCATCTCTGGTTTCTCTGCATACTCAGTTCTGCAAGGTTTTTAGGTCAGTCAATGCCATTTCAGAGATATCAAGAACATCCAAGTAGATATTTCAAATCACTTATATTCCTTCCTCCATTTATGTTTGTATTAAGCAGAAATAATGCTGTATATCAGGTGTTCTACAATGTTATGCAAAACTCTTATGCAAATGTCACATCATGCCCTTGATAAGGCTGCATTTCTTGTGTAGTTTACAAGCTCACTGATGGTGTGCCTTTTGTTTATTGTTGATAGGAACATAGTCCCACAAAATCTGATTCAGGCTTGCTTCGAACAGGTATGTTTTTCATTAAGGCATATTATAGATTATACTGCTCATTTCTTCTCTTTCCATGTAATGTTTATCATGTGAACTCATGTTTTTTTTAGTACAAGACCGAGAGGGTGGAGTTTGAAACTGACACAGAGGGGCACGAGGAAGAGCATGAACTACAGTCTAGCCTGGAAACAGTAAATACTTTCCCCTTGTCACTAAGAAGATTATGTTGTGAAGTTTCTATTTGCAGTGATGATCTTTGATACATGAGGTCGCTTTCGGACCATTAATGAGTTTATGGTCTAGTTCCAGAACTCGTCAGAAGTGCAAATGGTGGGCCGCTATGTTACAGGAGCCAACACAGTCGGAGTGATTGTCTGGTGTTTCTTTTTTGGCATAACCCTCAACATAATGGGAAAAGAAGGGAAAGTCCTTGTAGAGGTCCTCACTGTCTTCAACGAGGCCACAAAATGTGTGGTCAACTTGATACTATGGTAAAGTGAAACAAGATACTATAAAGTATATCATTCTCTTTTTCCATATTTAATACATTTTGAAACATATCCCTCATTTGGAAGTGAGAGTGTAGTACTCACAGCATTGCCATTAGAAATAGTAATATTGTATTTCAGACAAAACATAGCAGCATCTTTCACTGTTAAATGTTGTGTTCTAAAGGGGTTTCAGTGCCCAACAATGTGTATTCATAATTACATTTAATTTCCTTCATTCTCTGAAATTAAATGTAAGAGAAGCCTGACTGGTTTCTTTTGGACTTACATATTTCCTTCATTTGTTTAATTGTATGGTTTTCTCTCCAGGTACTTGCCATTTGGAGTGGTGTTCCTGATTGCAAGCCATATTGTTGAGATTGAAAACTGGGAATCTGTCTACAGCCTCGGAAAGTTTGTGGTCGTGGTTGTTGCTGGGTATGTTCGCCTTCGCTGTTTTAGCACTTGGGTTTAGTTAAGTAAATTTGACCTTCTGAGCAACTAGTGATGCACATTTAGTGTGAGTGTATTTAGCTACTCATGAATTTAACTTGTTAAGAGGAGTGTTGTGTTACTTCTTTCAAAAGTTACATAGTTGTAACTTTACTTGTTTTAAGTCTCCAACCTAGCAGCTACACAGTGAATGCAGACTCTTGCTGTTGTCAGTAATTGTATTTGATTGAATCAGTACTGATTGTGCATTTATTGTTTGTTTCAGGCTTACAATCCATGGAACAATAACTCTGCCACTGCTTTATTTCCTGTGTGTGAGACGCAACCCCTACGCTGTTATTAAGGTTTCTACTCCTGCTTTAATGACTGCACTGGCCATCTCGTCCAGGTAGGATGATATAACAGAGAACTGTGAGTTCATGGCGTGTTTGGCACCACTGCTTATTTGTACATTCATAATCAGAGCTGCCTGATTTTTTTTCGTCATATAAGCAGAACACTAAAAAAGGATTCAATTTGTTTCCCCAAGCTCTGCCACTATGCCATTAACGTTAAAATGTTGTGAGCAACTCTACATCGACAAAAGAATCACTTCTTTCATGCTGCCCATTGGGACCAACTTGAACAAGGACGGAACTGCCCTTTACGAAGTGGTCGCAGCAATTTTCATTGCCCAGCTCAACCACATCACTCTGGACTTCAGCCAATTAATTATCATTTTGTAAGCCACTCTTCCTGTTAGTTAGTTTTGATACTGGTTAAACGTGTATAATATGGAACCTTTGAGAGAGAGTGACTTTAAAAATGCATGGTACACTTTTATATTACTTAAGAATCTGTGTTTGATCTGCAGTATGACTTCAGCTGTCGCCAGCATAGGAGCAGCAGGGATCCCATCTACAGGAGCAGTGAACACTCTCTTAGTTTTGACAGCTATTGGGTTACCTGCAAGGGAGGCCTCCATTTTGGTGGCTGTAGAATGGCTCCTGTAAGTTGAATCTGTTGTTCATAACTAGAAATTGATACAAAATGTCTAATGGATGGATTAGTAAAGCTGCCTTTTCTGCCTCTGGATTGGTTTACCCCAGCAATTTATCCACCCTGACCTCTGTTATCTAGTTTCAAACTAGATGTTTACTTAATCAGGTTTCACCATTAAAGCTTAAGAAATGTCTGAGCAAGAGTTAAATAATGTACAAATTAGTTTCAAGGAAATACCTGAAGCACCGTCCAATCAAAAGCAGTCACTGTCACTTTTGCGTCACAGACTGCAACTTTCAAATATAACAGTTTAAGAATGCCAAGCGATATAGTAAACTTAATAGCCAATCCTTAGTAAATGTATGTGTAACTTTTTTTTCTTTTCCCTGTCTATGTATGCACGTGGTTCATAGTGCATGCAGGTTAGGTTAACAAAACATTAGATGTGCAAAGAGTTCAAACAAACAAAGTCACTGTAAAGCAGCATACCGTATATCCTCTGCTTTCATTGTCTGATGTTGTTTGTGTCTTTCAGAGACCACTTCAACACGCTTGTCAATGTCCTTGGTAACTGCATTGGCTTGGTAATTGTTCACGAACTGTCAAAAAAAGACCTCGATGTAAGGGAGGAACAGGGACAGGAAATGACAAGGTACAATCTAGAAGGTCTTAGTGTCAATTCATCTTCATTTTAAGCCAGTACGTTCACAGAACCTGTAAAGGCATTTTTCAGTCTGACGCAAATGATTATTCCAAAGAGAAATAAGTCACCTTAGCAGCACAGTAATGTAGCAGACATCTCCCTAAAATAATGCTGATCTTAGTTACATCTACATGTGATTCAAAGATGGGACACACGCCTTTTTCCAGTTTTTGCTCACACTAATGACCTTGTTGTGCTTTGCCTGGCTAGGATGCATGGCAGTGATAGCCAGGTCTCTGATGATGACACCCTGCCTGAAAACCTAATCCCACCCAAAGAATGTGATACAGAGGAGCCCACTCAGCGCGTGGATCAGTCCAGTGAGATCCGGCACATCACACCAGAACAGCTGTACAACCAAGAGAGTGATGACAAGGAGCCCGCTCAGCGTGAGGACCAGTCCAGCGATATTTGGCACATCACACCAGAATATCTGTCAGCCCAAGACAGCGATGACTATGAGAATGTGTAATGTCATCTGACAATAAACGGGGATTCAAATGTATTAATGTTTGTAATGTACGCATTTAAAATACACATAAATAATTATTATTAAAAGAAGCTAATAAAATAAAAACAGCAGATAAAAAGAGTAGAAAGCAGCAGACTAACAGAGATTGTCTTACGTATTTTATCCCATTGCAAAATATAATTCTGCTTCCAATTTGTTGGTTGCACTTCCATGATGTGAACTCACTGTCATGTTCAAAAAACCAGTGAGAGATGATTTGAGCTTTGTGACATAGTGCATTATCCTGCTGGAAGTAGCCATCAGAAGATGGTACACTGTGGCCATAAAGGGATGGACATGGTCAACAACAATACTCAGGTAGACTGTTGTGTTTAAACAATGCCAAATTGGTACTATGGGGCTATGGGCTAAGTGTGTCAAGAAAATATCCCCCACACCATTACACCACCATCCCCAGCCTGAACCGTTGATATAAGGCTGGATGGATCCATGCTTTCATGTTGTTTACGCCAAATTGTGACCCTACCATCTGAATGTCGCAGATGAAATCCAGACTAATCAGACCAGGCAACGTTCTTCCAGTCTTCTATTGTCCAATTTTGGTGAGCTTGTGTGAACTGTAGCCTCAGTTTCCTGTTCTTAGCTGACAAGAGTGGCACCCGATGTGGTCTTCTGCTGCTGTAGCTCATCAGGTTCGACGTGTTGTGCATTCAGAGATGGTATTCTGCATACCTTGGTTGTAACGAGTGGTTATTTGAGTTACTGTTGCCTTTCTTTCATCTTGAACCAGTCTGCCCATTCTCCTCTGACCTCTGACATCAACAAGGCATTTTCGTCCACACAACTGCTCCTCACTGAATATTTTCTCTTTTTTTGGACCATTCTCTGTAAACCCTAGAGATGGTTGTGCATGAAAATCTCACTAGATCAGCAGTTTCTGAAATACCCAGCTCCTCTGGCATCAACAACCTTGCCACATTCAAAGTCACTTAAATCCCCTTTCTTCCCCATTCTGATGCTCGGTTTGAACTTCAGAAAGTTGTCTTGACCACATCTTCATGCCTAAATGCATTGAGTTGCTGCCATGTGATTGGCTGATTAGCTATGTGTTAATAAGCAATAAAGTGTCCGGTGAGTGTATACCAGTACAGGTAAAACATGACACTTGGAACTTGTTTTTCTAGTGTGATGCAAGGAAGAAGAAGAAAAATAATGAAAACAAAAAAGAAAATCATAAGCAAATGATGATGGCCTATGCGTCCTTTAGGTCCTTTTTTCAGTTCACTTTGCCCTTTAAGAAAATCTTTATTAGTTTTAATCATTTGACTAGTGATACTTTTGGTTTACCAAAAAACAGCTGTGCTTGAACTGTTCTGTCCTCACTTGTCCAGCTGTCCTTAAACACTTAACAGAGGGACAAATCCCCCCCAAAAGGCTTGGCCATTGATTCCCCAAAAGGCTTGGCCATTGATTCATGTGTGCTTCTGTTTCATTCATGTTACATTACATTTATTCATTTAGCTGATGCTTTTATCCAAAGTGACTTACAATTGCTATACATCAACTAGGGGTTAAGTGTATTTTCAGGGACACATGGTGGATGTCTTACAGTGGGAATCGAACCAAGGTCTCCCACACCAAAGGCAAACATCTTATCTATGCGCCATCACCACCCTCACCACCAGTGTTTAGTGTTTACTTTTGGTCTATGTACTTCTGTGTTATTTTGCCCTTGTCTGCTCTGTGTTCTCTATAATCCCAGTCTGTATTCATTGTTGGTTGCAGTTCTTGGTGATCTGTTATGTGTTCAGTAACCTGTGTCATGTCTGTTTCCCCAGTTATCACTCTGCATGCCAATCTCTCTGTTTTCCCCTGCTTTCGGTCTGCCTGCCTGTGTCTCGTTAACCTCATGTCCCTCACCAGTGTACCTCCTCCCAGCTCGTTAACCCTGTGTATATATCCTTGCTTGTTTCCCCTCGGTGTTTGACTGGTCATTGTAGAGTGTAGATGCCCTGTCTGTTGTAGCTTGTGCTGTCTTGTCCTGTTACCTGCCCATTCTCTGTTAGTTCTTAGTATTTTGGATTATACCCATTCTGGATGTTCTGTTGGATTTCTATGTTCATTTTTGGATTTGTCTCAGCCACTCTGCCAGTAAGTGTGCTCGCCTTTTGTTCGTTTAAATAAACCTTTTGAACTATACCTCCTCTGCTATGAGTGCTGCATTTGGGTCCACCAACTTTCTCCACACCACAAACCGTAACCGATACCTCTACCCGAGGTGGAACAAAGCACAACCATGGTTTTTTGTTGTTGTTTTTTTTTTACTTTAATATGTTTGGTCATGAAAATGGATTGTTAAAATATTTCAATGCAAAATTAGTTTATTTGATTGATGTTTGGATCCTCCCCAAAACCTAAAATAGTGATACTTCTCCAAAAGGGACAGCGTCTGCCTTATCACATGTATCTCTGGAAATAATGATCAGAATGTCACCAAATTTGAACTGGATATTCACAGAAAGTTATAGCATACAATAAAGCAAATAATTCATCAATACATTTGTCCATCTTAAAATTTAAACACTCAGGAATAAGTTGAAATCAAATAGGAAATAAAAAGTCCAAAAGTTTGTGTACATATGTCTATCACTATTAAAGTATGGAGGCCAATCACCAAAGAAATACAACTAGACATATTAAAGTTATGCAAAAACATGGTGGTGCTTTGCTCTACCTTAACATTACTTAGCTGGCACTAACGGAGGGTTTAGATCATAGACTGTATATATCTGAAGATCAGAAGTTCTGGTGAAAAACGGCAACAAAAAATTAACAAAGAAGAACCATTGCAGTGGGTGCTTTTAGCATGAGTAAAATGTCTATTGTAATATTGTGCGTAACCTTGGCTGATGTTATGAGGTCATGTTGCTTAAAAGTACTGTGTCTGTTTTAACTGGATATTAATGTTGTTGTAAGTGCTGTTTGGACACTACAAAGTCTTGATTTCAATTTTAATTTTGCATTGGTTTATAGTCTGTGTAGAAGGTCTACTAGTTAGAATGCATTTGTTCTTCCTGTTTTTTAAGCTGCTTTAATGTTTGACTAACTGTTTGTGGGCCAATTTTATATGACAAGCATAAAAGTAATAGGTATGTGTAAATTGTTGTGATACATGCATTGATACTTTTGGATGATTATTTTAATATGTGAATGAATATTGTAGGGCTGTAACTAACGATTATTTTCATTGCTGATCAATCTGCTTATTTTCTGCTTATTTTCTCCAGTAACCATCTATAAAACATCAGCAAACAGTGAACATGCCCATGCCATCACAATATCCAAACCTAGAGCAAAAAGTGACATTATTAAATGTCTTGTTTTATCCAACCATCAGTCCAAAAACCCCAAAATATTTAATTTATTATAATGTAAGACCAAGAATATCAGCAACACATTTACATTTGTTAATACTGAAACCATCTAATTTTTGACATTTCTGCTTGAAAAATGACTTAAACAATGAATCACTTAAAAAAAGTTGCAGATTGATTTTCTTTTAGTCAGTTTATCAATTTATTGACTAATCTTTGCGGTTCTAATCCCACTGCAAAGTTTAAATAAAATTTTTAAAAAAGTGAAGACATTTAAGGTGACTTGCCTATTTATTTCATCCTCTACCTGTGCTGAATTTTTTTTCTTCTTACTAATGTTCTATTTTATATTATTTCCTGCTTTTCTTTGTGTCTCTCTCTCTTCACCTTCCCTTAATCAACAGTCTGGTAAACATCTCTGATAGCAAAGGTAACCAACACACACACTCACTCACTCACTCACACTACAAATACACTAGAAGCTATATATAATAGCCTGGTGGGGGGATTACACAGTCCATGACAATGTGTCCTTCACCACTGCATTGAACAACGCTGCCTGCCAGAAACACAACACACGTATGCACACGCTCAACATGGACATGCAGGGACCTCACTTAGTGTCATAATATGCAGGCAGACAACATATAAAGCAGCAGTACAGTACTGTAAATGTACACATAGGCTTTTACACATGCAGAAAGGCAAGACAACTTCTATGCATGCACAGAGTGGGGGGGGAAAAAAGGTCTTGGCGAGCTCTTTTTTCCATAACATGTTAGACAACAGAGAGAGAGAGAGACTTATGACACACAAACACACATGTTTACTGAGGACAGCTAACTCTTAACAGACACAAAAAACATCAAAGAAACTCAGAGGAAAAAGGGGTAGGGGCTGGTATGAAAGGCAGAGTGGCTACTGAATCAAGTATTCACTATATTTTGGTTGAGTAACTATTTACATCATGACACCACTGTTTTAGTGTTACTATTGTTGTTGGACTACTTTTATATACAGTGACCAAAGTTGCAAAATCAAGAACTTTTAGTTAAGTAATCTTGACCACGTGTAACTAGGTTTGGCAGTTTTGTGTAGCAGATTGGTCACATTTACATATAGGGGTAAAACCTTATTTTTACAGGTCCCATACTTTCCTATTAATTAAAAATGGAGGTTTCAACTGTAATTTATTAGGAAGGTTCCTGGAGTAGCAACTTGCATATCCCTTTTTAGGAATCATCTGAGGAAATAATTTGGACCAGTAAAATAAAGTTAATACATGGCTGCTTACCTGAAACAGTGCTAAAAGATTTTTTATTTCAAACGTTATATCATTGGCCCTGCGATGGACTGGCGACCTGTCCAGGGTGTACCCCGCCTTGCGCCCGATGTCAGCTGGGATTGGCTCCAGCCCCCCCCGCGACCCTGTACGCAGAGCGGTTGACGATGGATGGATGGATGGACGTTATATCATATCATGCCACCAGAGGGCAGTACAGGAAGGCAGCTGATGGTCTGTCACCATCTCCTTTCTTGAAGTCCTTCCAAATCTCTTATTTTTGCTGTGACTGATTTAAAAAAACCAAAACAATAATCAGTATTAATCTGTTTACTTCAATGAGAGCATTTATAACAGTTACTCTGATCCTTGAGGTGATTTTCCTCAGTTCTCTCTTCCTACAGTGATGCAGTCTCTATACTTGATAATGAACTGTTTAAGCACACAGTTCAATAAAACATAAAATCAGGAGCTCCTGAAGGAGTTAGTCCAGTTAGTCAATACTTAATTAATTTAAACTAACTTCCACACAGCGCAGACTCTTTCTGGGTAACATACGGTACAGTGCAAGAGTTTTAGGCAGGTATGGCAAGTAAGAATGCTTTAAAAAATAGACATCTTAATAGATTATGTTCATCAATTAACAAGATACAAAGTGAGTGAACAGAAGAAAAATCTAAATCAAATCAATATTTGATGTGACCTTTGCCTTCAAAACAGCATTGCTACTTTTAGGTACACTTGCACAAAGTCAGGGATTTTGTGGACATGTTGTCAGGTGTATGATTACACGATTATGCCAAAGGTGCTTATGACCACTAGTTAAATATGTAGGTTGAAACACAATCATAAACTGAAAAAGATTATTAACTGTGATGGGTATTTTTTTTTTTACAAACAAAGCCACTAATGGATTAGTTTCAGGTGAGGTGGACAAAGAGACATAGTGGATGGATGAACCACTGTATTCAGCTCTTCACTATAGGAATGTAACTATTTTTATTATTGGCAGGGTAGGGTAGGTACGTTTGAGAAACTAGCAAGAAACTGCTGGATTTTTGAAAGTATCCAACAGAGAAACTCCCACCCCCTCCCTTCTGGGCTCCTTCCAAAGCCACGCCCCGAAAACATATGAACGTGCGTTGCCGACACTGCAGGAGGACGAGCACAGTGTGACAAGCGGAGCAGCGCGATGCAGCGGCTCTCATCAGGGGTAAGAAAACATCTAACTTTATCATTATGAAAATAAACAACTAACCAGGCTGTTAGTGCTCATTATCAAGCTAGCATGTTAATATTGGATAGGTTTAAAAAGACTGAGTTTTAATCAGTAAGGAGCTGGCTAGCTAACTGTTAGCAACAGGTAGCTGTGCTAACAGCTGTGGTAACATTGCGCAAAGCGAAAAACAGGCTGATACACATTTTCCCGTTTCCATCAGTTACACTACACAAACGTGAATTTCGTATTAGACTCCTAACATGTACGTGGTTTTGCATGTTTGAGCTTACCCGGTGACAGCATTATTGTCTCTGATGAGGACTGGACCCCAGAGCCAAGCACAGACCAGGACAGGACTGGGGTTCGAGGCGAAGCAGAGGAGGGAGGGCTGCCGGGGTCCGAGGAAGAAGAGGCAGGACGGGGAGCACGAGGTGCAAGCTAAGGAGCACATCTTCTAGGACCTGTGTCGAGCTTCAAACTTCAACAACTGCATATGAACAGGTATATATATTTTAATATTAGTAAATTGTTTCCAGTGTACTTGTCTCAAAGTTTCTCTGGTGTTTCCCCCTAAACCCTTTTGGTGTCAAAAATAAAGTGCTATAAAATGTAATCCATCACTATTGTTATTACTTTTTTATTGTTTACTGATTACAACTAACTACAGCTCTGCTCATCTGTGTCATGTACATTGACCTGGTGTGTAATGTGGACACAGAAGTCCTGTTAGAGAACAACAAACCCCTGTTCAGTAAAAATATCTGATCATGTTGATGTCCTGTCCTATTTCACCAATCGTTCCAATTTGGGGTTCTAACAACTATATATTCCTTTACAGGCCAGAATCTGAGCACTGTGGACAACATTCAGACTACAGTGTTTCCATGCACCACACATGATCTTCCAGATCCAGGACAGAGTAATGGACAGTTGGAAAGTGTGGAAATGTGGAGCACTTTGTCAAAGAGTCGTGATACTAATTTGCTGTTTCTGGAAGATATGCAGCTGCTATCCTGATCAACTAAGACAATACAGAAGTTTAATCCTAGAAGGGTGTAAGATATAATGTCACTAACTGCTACACAAATAATTCCATCCACTGTGTGAATAATACCTGTACATTGTTTTATGCCCAGGAGGGTAGAGAATAGTATACTGAAGTATACTGTTCCCTGTTCTGGAGAATATTTGCATTCTTTTTTAAATAAAACATTGAAAATGATAAATGCCTTTTCTTTACACTTGCAGCAAAACAATCAAGCAACTACATTTGTCTTATGTCTGAAATAATGACATCCAAATGTGGTATAACACTTGTTTATTGTTATTATATATACACAACTAAAACTACAACCTACATCACAAATAGATAATTTTAAACAAGGTGTGTCCAGATGTATCTTGACTGATCATGAAGATGGTTCAGACTTTACTCGTAGCATCGTATCGCTTCTGTGGAGATGATTAAATATATCACAATCACCTCTCTGACATGATTACCACATTTCAAAACCAACCATATTACTTTTTGTTGTACGTTTTGCTGTATTTAGCAACACAGTTGGGGCAGGGACACCTGACTGATCCCCATGTTGACGGGGATCATCAGGTCTCCTGGTTCTGCTTCTAGGCAGCTCCTCAGTAGTAAACAACAGTCGGAGGAGGATGGCACTGTGGAGGTCTGCGATGTAACTGTAGTCCTTCTCCACCTTCACTGAGTACAAGCTCCAATTCCTGGACTTTTTTGTAGTACACCTTGCTGTACCTGATAACACAGAAAGGCGAATCAGCTAAGTGAAATGTTTGCAATACCTGACATTGTTTTCTTATACTGTAATTAGCATTAGCACATAAAATACAATAACAACAATAAATCAGCACCATCTATCTGTATTCCTCATACTGTATAATTTTTTTGACTCATCACTTATATTGAGTAAAATGCACAGGAGTAATAAAAATACAACATACTGATTTGTGTCATCAGCTTTTCTCCTGGCTGGACTGTGGACACAGTGGTTGTAACACAGGCCAGCCAACATGGTCTGATCAGCTTATACTGGTGAGAAGTACAGCGGCACAGTAGAAATCAAACATACAGGATTTTTTACTTCTAGTAAAATAAATAATGGCATAACAGCACCAATTACAGTAAAAGGTTTTCACCCAGCAGGTTTAGCTATGAACAATGTCAAACTATATAAGTAGCTTATATAACAGAAACGCAGATACTTGGGGACCTTTAGCCAGTGTTGTTTATGTAACGTTATCCTAATGTTAAAATGTCTCTCATAACTACAAAAACACACAGCTACATCGCCACATTTTGTAAAAATGTCTTGTTCAAAGATATAACAGAGGAACATACAGTCAAACAACGCTTGCAGACACAAGATCATCACACAAATAGATTAGATACAAGGTAAAAATAAAGTTACGTGTAAACATAGTTTAACAATAACCCTAGGTGGTAAATAACTAAACCGGGGCAGTCTACGCCTACACTGTCTTATCTAATGTTAGCATCCAGCTCAGCTACAGTTACATATAATTCATCATCTGTACTCTGGCTCACTCCACCAGCCTGCACTCGGAGCTGCCGTTAGCTGTTTGCTAAGTAGGTAGCTACAGTTAGCTGTATGCTAAGTAGGTAGCTACGTTGGCTAGGTTGGAAGTAACAAATTACCATCAAAGTGAAAAAAGCCAGATTACCTGTCCAGCAGACATGAACCGACCACGGTTTAACTTCAGCCAATTGGGCTACCTCAGTAGTCACCGTCGTTGAGAAGCCACCCGATCTCACTGCTTCGCTCGTCAAGTCTGAGAGAGCTGACCGGATGCGCGCATGGGGGCAGCTCCTGTAGCAGCAGGGCTGGTAGCCATGGCAGCGAGGGAGAGTGACAGTCACCCAGCCAATCACTGCATTCGGTCCGAATGAAACGGATGGCTGTGTTTACTGCAGCGCTGAGAGGAGAGACAGCAGAGGTTTATACTCTATTTTTAAGTGCACCTAACTGTTTAATATGTATTGGTGTATATAGACAGTTTCAACAAATATGACAACAAGTGTTTTAGAAACAACTTGCCTACCCTGCCTTTAATCTGTTGGTTATTGTCTTGATTAATTAAATAGTTTTGTCCATAGAATGTAGAAAATGTGGGAAATGCCCTCTTGAAATGTCTCATTTTGTGTGACCAAAAGTACAAATCCCAAAGGTACTCAGTGTAATAAAGAAAAACATAAAATCCTCTCATTTGAGAAGCTGGAACCTGTTTTTGCTTAAAACATTCTGAAACCATTGTTTTATTATCAATATTTGCAAAGAGCTCTGTTTCACCATCATGTAGTCAGAGTTAACTGTGATGAAGTAAGGTCAGAGCCAGTCTAGACCTACTATCTAAAATCTTTTTTTGAATACTCATGACAAAACTGTCTTCTACACACAGCTTGTTAGACCTGGCACGCATTGTATTTGCTGATGCTATTTATGGCCAAGTTTAGCTAAATGATCACAATCTGCATCAACAATTTTAGATTTGTTTTAGTTTTATATTCTTCTTCTGTACACTGCTCTGTGCATGGTGTTGATAGAATGAGCTAACAGCCCACAGTGCAGAGATAACTTTGTCAGCCATCAGTAATCAAATATTATTCAGCTTTGTTTGTGGGTTAGGGTTACGGGGTTAGGGCAATGTGGCCATTAGGCAGACAGACTGCCTGTATGCATATCACATTTTACCACATGGTCTGTCCCGATGTGCTGTATCATTATAATCATTAACCTTGATGATAATAATTTTTAGCTTAAAAAACTCTTAGAATGTAACCACACCAATCTCCTGCCATTAGGTCTGTTGTGTTTAAAGTTTAGTTGTGTTAAACTCTGTGTCTGGCTCATGCAACAGTGCCTGGAATCATTTCTGTACATGTTATCAGAAATCTTCAACTCTTGACTAACGTGCATTATTAAGTTAGCATAATCAGTTTTTAATTGTGTTTGCCGTCAATGGAGGAGGCAGGTTTTGTTTTTGTTTCAAATTAGATTCTTCACTCAAGCAGGAGCTTTTTTATATACATGTGCGTCTTTAAAACTAGATTTCAGTTGAATTCTTTACCAGAGGGAAACAAACTGTCATCTCCTGGGCTACAAATGAGGTCCAGGTGTATGTTTTTCCTGTTGTTCTCTTCCTCAAGTGTAACGATACACTTTAGACTCACAATAGACTTTCATACCCTGAACAGAACATTGCGTTGTCCTTATTCTTAAAAGATCATTACTAGTATGAGAGGAAGGAACATGGCAAGGAAATAACTATTATTGTGATTATGTCCACAGTGGTGAATAAATACCTGCAATGAGTACTGAGTAGCCATAATCAGAGCAGAGAATATTCTTAAGGACAACAAATTGTCAGAAAATGTTTCTTCAGTGCTGGTGTGAACCTACAAGGGACAAAGAAAAAAGACGCAGAAGAAGGTAGACCTGTGGTCCACATACCCAATACAATTCTAAACAGAAAGCAACCCGACTTGGACCAGAAGGCTCAGACGGCGTCCTAAAGTGTACACTGCCAGATGTTGCTCCAGCCATGGACTACAAGTGGAGTGTGGGTCTGTGCAAGACATAAAAACATGTAATGTGTTATTTTTCATGTTCACTGATTTGTTGTACACTGAAGAAAGAAACATCTTAACCAACCATAGCATGGCCTCTGGAAGAAGGGGGTCCAAGGGGCCATGTACCCCAACACTGTACTCCACTGGTCCACATTCTTTTTAAGTTGTGAATCACTGTAACCCCGCAAACGCCCCTATGTTGCAACAGACATTTTCAATCAGCTATCTGTTGCGAATACAGGGTGGCTGTGTTCGCAACAGATAGCTCTCATTTTAAACTGGCATGAAAACACACTGAATATCTATTATAAACTATGTAGATGATATATGATCATATTTTACATTTTTTGATTCTTATAAAAGATGAAATATGTGTCCTATGCTTGCCAATCCTTTTGATTTCTCTGTCCCTCTCACTGGTGATCTCCTACTGATTCATATCCCCAGATAAAGATCAGCTCTTTGGGTGATTAGAAAAGAGAAGCAATGCAGAATCGCTTGTTGACCGGTGCAGGGGGGAAAAGTGCTTCTGGTGTGAACAGAAAGGCTACAGGACAATATGCCAGATTGAGGTTGATGTCAAATAAGGCACAGAAAATGTATTTATCTTGTAATGTGTCTTTTCAGAACATGTCAGTTCATGTTTGTAATTGTAATTTTGTGCTGTTTTATAGTTATTACCATCAACGAGGTTGCTGTTTCCTTCTTTCTTGACCCCAGCTATATTTTTTTTTTATAGTTTTGCATGCTGTTTAGCCCCCTCCACATCTGAGTATATTTATTATCTGCAAATTAGAATTGCATATACAGTGCAGAACAAAAAGTGATGATTAAATAAAATGATCAGGAATTATACAAAAGTCAGTTTTTAATTAAATAAAGGAAAATGCATGACACTGATGGTGACAATAATAAATATTGAATAAAGTTCAAGATATTGGGGAGCTGGAGCCTATACTGGCATTCATTAGTTGAAAGGAAAAGACTAGGAGATGTCTTTTGCATGGCTTAAGTTTGCAGTTTACCTAGCTTGTCTGTCACAGGACTGTGGAAGGCATTTTTCCATCTTTATTATATTATATCTTTATTATATTATACAGATTTAAGTACACAGACACAGAAAAAGTCCTGTATGTATGTAAACCTTGGTGTAAAAAAACATTCCATATAGTGTGTGTGTATCAGTAACTGCTGTGTAAACTCCTCTGAGGATATTCTTTCCTGGAATTGAAGGCACGTCTGTGTGCTGATGATAATTGGCTGTCAGAACACAATTACTTTGAAAAATGCTCTGTTGGATATTATTTCTTTAGTGAAGCAACTTACTCAGGAGTAGATACAGTTGTGGTCTATGAAAAGGCAGTAGGGAGAGGGCTGTTGTGGACTGAGATACAGCATATTCAGTGAATTCACAGGAACACAATTTGTATCCTGTGACTGTATTGTTAGCAAGTTTTCCCATATGCATGATTCACTTTTTCCACCCTACTTTTTACCCCTCTTATTTTACAACTTGCATGTGTGTATGACCCATCACTTCTAAACAGATGGAAGTCGCCTATGTCATTGTCACCCGTTAATTATAATGACCGTTCTAGGTTTTTAGCATATTTTGGCGCATTTCATGCACAGCTAAGCTGTAGGGTATATTTTATATATACATATGTATTACTTGGTCAGACTGAAGTAAAAAAAAAAAAAAAAAATCAGTCTTGACTATATATAACAATAAAAAAGTATAACTATAGACAGGCCTTGCAAATCCCCACAACTTGAATATATTATTTTTAGGCCTATACCCTGAAAAATCCCACAAAGCAGGATTTGGAGTTTGGAGGTACTTCAGGTTTAACCCTGGGTTTTTTAGGGTAACGATGGTTGTTCACTTCTTACCAGGGTACATCTCCATGGTAACAAATGCTGCACACCTAACCTGCTCCCGGGCAGATTATGTTGGAGATAACAGATCAATGCCTATAAAAGCACTGCCTACTGGCCAATCAATTGTCTTGTAAAATGGCAACACCATTTGTAGAAGATCCTGTGGAGCTTGGTGTGTGGATCGTGAGAGGTTCTTTTAGGAAGGTAAGAGTGTTCAAAGACCGCAAAGCAGGAGCAGCAGGAGTGTACTCCTATGGAGAGCCCCCTCCTGTCTTTTTATTTTTTCCCTGTTGGCAGCAAGCAATGCCAAAGCCATTTCATTGTGCTTTTGTATACCAATATCATCCTACAACAGAGATTGATTGCACCAGGGTTGCAGCTAAAAGAATAAGATTAAAAATGTAATACATGGCATAAGAATAGGCCTACATCTAAGCAACACATTCATTTAAGGGACTATATAATTTGTGTATAAACAAATGTAATCATACTTGGATCTGCTTGTGCTTATGTGTTTAACTTCTTTGTATTTCTCTAATTTTATAGTTTGTTCTTGTTTATAAAATCTGCGGTTGTGCTGCCAGTAGACAAAACACAGCCGCTTTTTACATGAACGTGCTCATGTCTGGATTGGGAAAACCTGGGTCGACTTACCGAGTTGATTACCACTGTCGATTGACCTCTTAGTGTGATTGTGGTTGTGAGGCTTAGTGAAGCCAGATAATGAAAAGAGATTTTGGGTATGCTTCGTAGTACAGGCCTCAGGTGTCAGATTAGGTATAAAAGCCTGGGCGTCCTGCTCAACCTGAAGGACTGCTCGCTATTCCTAAACATTGTAGATCTTCAGTAAGGTGAACTTAGCCAGATCTGGAGCTTCTTGAGGTGGCCCTGGGACATCCCATGCTGGCTAATTTTGAGAAGGTGGTCCCTCAGTTGGGCAAAATCTACATAGTCCCTATTTTGATCATGCCAACTGCACTGATGAAGTTCAGACCGTCTCTATGTCTCTGTGCATAGCTCCAGGGTCCTGGTGGCAATGGTGGACAGAGGTGAAGGTTCCTCTGCTCCTAGGTGGACTTGCACAAGTCTCTGAAGTTCCACCATCCCTAATATCTCTGAACTTAATGGCTGGGAAGAAGAGAAGTTTCTCTGCAAGTTTCATCAGCTCAGACGGGGATTCTGGTTTAACCATCTACTGTCTAGAGAAGTCTGGTCAGAAATGGTCTTCATGGAAGACTTGTGGCAAAAATTCCATGCCTCCGACATGGAAACAAGGCCAGGTAACTCATCTATGCATGGAAACATGGGAACTGGGGTGCTGAAAATGGCAGCAGGTGCTCTGGGC